CACATACACGAACCTAGACTTGAGTTTCTAAGCCACTTAAGGGGGTAGGGAGTGGGGGGGTGGCGAGTATGGTCTCTTCTCACCACACCATCTCCTCCCACATGCCTCCTGGTGTTGGGACAGGATGGAAGGAGGGAAGGACAGAGACATCTCCTCATTTAGCTGATTATGATGAGGAGCTGATCCTCTTTATTTCAGTGGTTACTGTTTCCTGGATAATGCAGACTGGGCTTTGACTCCTTCTGTGTGGCTCCTTCACGGGACTCATCCATTGAGTTCTTTGCAGAATGTTGTAAGGCCATCCCCTGCATATTCACCTACATGGGTGGCCTGGCTAGGGCTCCAGCTGCTTCCTTTCCTTTTCGTCTCCAACCACAGTCTTCCCCATACTTTCCTTCTGTCAGGGGCATCTCATCCAGTGGGCAACCCACTTGGGGCATATTGGCAGAACAGCTCAAATCCTACTTCCCAAGGCATTCCCTCGACCCAGGGGAAATGTATGTGTCCTTGCCACACCTGAGAAGCCACAGACCCCTATATCCATGTCCTAAACAGCATCAGGTGCTCCTGCTGATCCAAGACTCAAAAAAAAATCAAAGGAAAAATACCAGACCTCAAATTAATGGAGTCAGACACTGGAGGAATAGGAATCCCAACTTATCAAATAATTCTCCTGGCTTTAGGGTAGGAAAATACCCATACCTGCTTTTTCTCTTGCACGGGGAAGTGATGAGAAAAGTCCTATATAAAGGAATTAGTAAATAAATAAATTCTATGGATGTATTCACAGAGTTGATGGATTATTTTAATGGTATGATATGTTAAATGAAAAGAGCAGTGTAGCAGATTGTGTTTTCCAACATGGCAGAAACATCACCACCTCTCTCACAGGCTCTCATTACAATGTGGCCTTGATAATCCTCCTATCAAATGATGGGATCTATGTCACCTCCCCTTGAAGCTGGGTAGATCTTAGTGTCTGCCTTAACCATGAATAGTGTGGTACTAACATTATGTGACTTTCGATGCTGACTCATTAAAATGCCATGCACTTTCACCTTGCTCTCTTGAGATGCTCACTCTTTGGACCCAGCCACCATGAAGTGATGAGGCCCAAGGCACCACGTGGACAGGCCATGAGTAGTTGTTTCAGTGGATGGCCCAGCTGACATCTCAGCTGATGACTTATGTCAACTGCCAGGCATGTAAGTGATGACTCTCCTAATAATTCTAGCCCTCACCTATGAAGCCATCCCCAACCTCTGCATCTCCCCATCTGAGGCCCCAGACATCATTTAACAGAAACAAGTGATTCCACCATGATCCTCTCAAATCCCTGATCTGCAGAATCTGTGGGCATAATAAATGGTTGTTGCTTAACCTTTAAGTTTGGAATTATTTGTTATGCAGTGATAGTAACTGAAACAAACAAGATACCAAATTGTCCATAGAGCATGATCCATGTATTTCATACATAGATAGTAGGGTGAAAAATATTTAACACTGACTGCAGATGCTTTAGTCTTCTAAGAGGAGAAGCATGGTTCATATTAATGAGAAAATAAATCTCTATCAGACTCTATTTCATTTACAAAGACTGGTGGAGAGCCATGAAGAAAATAAGAGAATTTCAAAGCCTCCACTTTTTCTTCTTGATTAATGATGACTGAAACTCAGAGTAGATGACCCTTGGTGTGAATGATGTCAATAATAGGTTTTTATATATACAAAGGAGGTCTAGGGCTGTGTAGGGGCTGTAGAGCTAAACTGCCTTCTAGGATAAGTGAGAGAATTTGAATGTTTTAGGGCCAGAAAAGGCAAACGACAAGGTGGAAGGCTGGAATCTTTCAAGAAAAGTGGTCAGTGAGAAAGATGCTCCCACAGCAAGGTTGTTAAGGGACTTTTCAGGAGCGAGATATCTAAGATCTAATTTTATCTCTTTTTTTAATTTGTAAATTTTTTCTTCCTTCTAAGGAAAGCAACACTAATATGATCTATTTTAAACTCTTGGCATTTTTATAATTTTTTAAAATCCCTCCTGAGTCCCCATACCTTGAGTAAAGTTTGCTAAGTGTACATTTCTTGGGAGAAGATCCTAGTGGAACAAAACACAGACGCCGAGTTTGACACGAAACTCGGTGCCTTGCGCAGGGAGGGCAGGGTGCCATCCCTTTATGTGAGACCATGGATCCAGAGCTCCTCAGGGGTGGACACAGAATGCAAGAGCTGTGGGGACATGGCTTCCTCTACCCAGATTTTGAAGGATGTCTCAGATAGATTGGAAGCCCAAGCCAGGACTTTTCCTCAGGGGCAGAGTCACTGCAGAGAGCTCCCACTAAGGCAATGTCCAGCAGAAATTTGGGGTCAGAGCTGCTGCAGAAAGTCCCTAATAGTCTTAGTGGAGCCATGAGGATAAGGCCATCCCCAAGACCCCAGAATGGTAGAGCCACCGTGATCAGATAACAGCCTGGGAGAGCTGCAGGCATGAGATTTCAACCCATGAAAGCTGCTGAGCTCTCCCTAACCCCCTGTAAAGCCACAGGGGAAGGGTTGCCCAAGGTGTTGGGGGCCCAACCCCCATGCCATTATAGCCAAAGGTAGGACACTGGGTCAAAAAATATTATTCTTAAGACTTAGGATTCAGTATTATTCACCTTATTGGGTTTTGAATTTGCCTGGGATTTGTTTCTCCATTCTTCTTTCCCATTTCTTCCATTTGGAATGGGGATGTCTATCTTTTGCCTGTTCAGCCAACGCAGTTTGGAAATATTTTGTTTGGTTTCACAGGCTGACACTCTTCTTCCTCATTTTTCCCCCAGAAAAAATTTCCCTTTTATAAACTCTTGGGGCATTGTCTAGTCTAGGGATTGGTAAACTGTAACCTACAGGCCAAATGCAGGCCATTGGCCCAAACTGTTTGTTTTTATAAGTAAAGTTTTACTGGAACAAACCCATGCCAATTAATTAACATATTATCTATGGCCATTTTTTGCCATAATGGCAGGGTTGAGGGCTTGTAACAGAAAGAGTATTGCGGCAGGCCAGGTCTCCATTAGCAACCAGAGAAGTTAGCCTTCACCAATACCTTACTGTCACTCTGATGAATGTATAAGTTAAACATTAAAGAACTGGAGAAACTGGTGCCTTAGTACAAAAGTTAGAATGTAAAAACAAGTCCATTAAGACCCCACCGGGGCTTTCTCAGACCTTAGAGTTAAATTAAAATAATGGAGTGTTCTTGCACACCTTGTACCAGCATCTACTTTAGATTAAGTGATTGTTCCAAGCCTCTGAAATAATTTTCCAGACCCCAGGCCCTACATGTAGTCATATGGTTTTAATTAATATACGTGTCAGAGGCATTTAAGCCAGAGTGACTCTATCTTGAATGGGGGCTAGATAAAATAAGTCTAAGGCCTGCTGGGCTGTATTCCCAGGATGTCAAGGAATTTAGTCACAGGACAAGATATACGTCATAAAGACCTTGCTGATAAAACAGGCTGCAGTAAAGAAGCCAGCCAAAACCCACCAAAACCAAGATGGTGACGTGAGTGGCCTCTGGTCGTCCTCACTGCCACACTCCCACCAGCACCATGACAGTTTACAGATGGCATGGCGATGTCAGGAAGTTACCCTACATGGTCTAAAATGGGGAGGCATGAATAATCCATCACTTGTTTAGCATGTCATCAAGAAATAACTATAAAAATTGACAACCAGCCACCCTTGGGGCTGCTCTACTTGTGGAGTAGCCGTTCTTTATTCCTTTACTTTCTTAACAAACTTGCTTTCATTTTACTCCATGGATTCGCCTCAAATTATTTCTTCTGTGAAATCCAAGAACCCTCTCTTGGGGTCTGGATTGGGACCTCCTTCTGGTAACATAAGCACTGGAGAAAAACTTGTAACTTTGAGTTGGTGTGGTGAGTTACTGGGACTTTCTCCTTGTAACCGGCTACAGAAATGAACTCCCTTCTTTCCTAGTCTGCCTGCATCTCGTGATTGGAGTGTAAGAACAGGCAGTGGGGGCTCGTTCTGTCCGGGAACAGTGTGACTCATACACTGTTTAAATATTTACTGTCGGGCCCTTAAAAAAAGTTTAGAATGGCGATCACTAAAAAATCTGGGCCGGGCGCGGTGGCTCACGCCTGTAATCCTAGCACTCTGGGAGGCTGAGGCAGACGGATCACCTGAGGTCAGGAGTTCAAGACCAGCCTGACCAACAAGGTGAAACCCCGTCATTAAAAAGAAAAAAAAGAAAGAAAAAAAAATCTGGAGACAACAGATGCTGGAGAGGATGTGGAGAAATAGGAACACTGTTACACTATTGGTGGGAGTGTAAATTAGTTCAACCATTGTGGAATACAGTGTCGCAATTCCTCAAGGACCTAGAAATAGAAATTCCATTTGACCCAGCAATCCCATTACTGGGTATATATCCAAAGGATTATAAATTGTTCTACTGTAAGGAACACGAATGTTCATTGCAGCACTATTTGCAACAGCAAAGACCTGAAACCAACCCAAATGCCCATCGATGATAGACTGGACAGGGAAAATGTGGCACATATACACCATGGAATACTATGCAAAAACGATGAGTTCGTGTCCTTTGTAGGGACGTGGATGAACCTGGAAACCGTCATTCTCAGCAAACTGACACAAGAACAGAAAATCAAACACTGCATGTTCTCACTTATAGGTGGGTGTTGAACAATGAGAACACATGGACACAGGGAGGGAAGCATCACACACTGGGGTCTGTAGGGGGAAAACAGGGGAGGGACAGCAGGCGGTGGGGAGTTGGGGAGAGATAGCATGGGTAGAAATGCCAGATAATAGGTGATGGAGAGGAAGGCAGCACATCACACTGCCATGTGTGTACCTATGCAACAATCTTGCATGTTCTTCACATGTACCCCAAAACTTAAAATGCCATTAAAAAAAAAAGAAAAGCAAAAACCAAAAATTCAGACTTGCAAAAAAAAAAGTTTACTAACCTGTAGCTAATCTATGCTTCTCAAACTTGCACAAGATCCAGGTTGAGATCCAAGTAGAAGATAGCAGAATCCACATGGCCAACGTTGTGTATCTTCTTGGAGCATCAATTTTACTAGAAGACTAGGAAGAAAAAATAGTTAACACACTCTAAATGTAGACATTTAATAGACATTAAAGCAAACACATTTATATTATGGAGTAGAATCCAACATTTTGAATGAAATTATGAGTCAAAATTCCAAACGTGACCCAAATTTCAAGCATGGGGAGGCCTCTACACATTGTTGATGTTCCTTTACTGTTACAAATATTTTTGTAAAAAATTTGAGGAAACACCCATGTATGCTATTTAATTTGTGGTGCAAGTGTTGCAGAATTTTGCTCCTTAGTTCAACTAAAACTGGGTTCTTGTCACACAACCAGGAAAGATGACGTGCACGGACATGTTGAAGTGTGATTAGAGAGAAATTTATTGGGCAAAAAGAAAAAAAAAAAAAACGTGTGCAAAGCCAGAGGGGATCCTGCCAGTGGGCTCCCAGCTCACAGACTGAACCAGGCCACCACACAGGAACTGAAGAGGCCGGGCTCCTCCCTCTTGCAAACGGTGGGAACTTTTCCTGGCTCCACCCCATTGTCCCAGTGCGCAGGCCAGTCAGTCGGCGATTTCCCGGGAGACCCCCTTCTATCTGCCTAGGCACTTGGCCATCCCAGAAGTAGGTATCTTCTGAGTCTTTGTATTCTCGCCACTTCTGGAACAGTGCTTGAGCATAAGAACTCCAGAAGGGCTGGCATTATTTATTAACATAAATCCTAAAAGGTCTTTACCTGTCAGAATGGCTTAGTGGAGTTCTGCATGTAGGCAGAGGGATACACCAGATGACTCTGCCTGCAGAGGTCTCATACACTGTGGTTTATTAGTACCTGTACTGTCACTATGGCAACAAAAAGTCTCATAAGATCTAGTTAAATTAATATTCACAGTAATGTTATCACTCATATAAAATTCAAATTAGTTCTTCCTGAGCTAAAGGCAGAACCAATCTTTATATGAATGAACTAGTGATAACCTCATTGTTTTGTTTTTTTTTTAATTTGCCTTTTTTTCTTTTCCTTTAATTTAATATAACCGATTTATGTATTTTGTAGGGGAATGAACATATTAGAAAGTTTACCGTGTCCCTGACTATTGACCCAACCCCTATTATCATCCCACCCCATATCCCTCACCCCAAAGCATCTCTCTGACTTCTGAGATCTGAACAATCACTGTTGCATAAAACAGTGACCACTGGGTTTTGTTGTCTGTTATTGTTTACTTTTTTTGTTTTTGAATGCAAATGTGCCTAGGAAAGAATAACATGTAAAGTTACCAATCTCTCTTGGCATTGGTTAGGGTGGGGTGGAGAAAGGCAGTTCTAGCCTCTGAATCCGAGTTAGATCTGAGGCCAAACCCCAATTCTGCCATTGAGTTGCTGAGCTACTCTCAGTAATTACTTGCCACTGATGCACCTTCATTTTTCTTTCCTGTAATATGAAAGCTGGAAACTGGGTCTTCTCCAAGAGCTTTTCCAGCTGTAAAATTCTACAGTTCCAGGCAGCATAATTAATGGAAGATCAAGGACACAACCACATGGATAGAAACTCAAAAAGATAAGCCTGATCGGAAAAGGTTAGTTACAGAATAACTTGTACTGCATAAAACCACTTTAACTTTTTAATTTAATTTTTGGAATAGGTAGCATAGTCCATCCACATGGACTATCTCAAAAAAAATTAAGAAATACATATAAAAGTCTTCTTCCATACCTCATCCCACCCCTCTTTCCACATCCCACATGCAAAACTCCTATTAGGTTTTGCATGTAAACTTTCAGTTTCTTTATGTACATGCAAACAAAAATTAATACATAGGCTTATTTTCCTCTTTGTTAGCACAAAAGATAGAATGCTATATACATTCTTCTTCACCTTGCTTTTTTTTCCACTTACTATGTATTTGAAAATTTTCCATATTAGCACAGAGAGTGCCTTCATTCTCTTTTATAACTGCATAGGATTCCATTACAAGGACGTACCATACTTATTCAATCACTCTCTGTTAATGAATATGTAGACCACTTCTGGACTTTTTAGTACAAGCAATACTACAATGAATAACCTTGAACACATGCGCTTTTGAGCATGTATAAACATATACCTATCTAAAGAGAAATTCTAAGAAATGGGATTTCTTTTATAATTTTGTTCATTTGCCTTATTATTACTATTATTTACTTAGAGGCAGGTTTTCACTCTGTTGCCCAGGCTGGAGAGCAGTGGATCAATCATAGGTCATTGCAGACTCAAACTCCTAGATTCAATCAATCCTCCCACCTCAGCCTCCCAAAGTGCCAGGACTATAGGCATCAGCCACCACACCTAGACTTGTGCATTTGCATTTTTGATACGTATTGTCAAATTGCCCTCTACAGAGATTATACCAGTTTACTCACCCACAATCAAAGTTTAAGTGTCTCTTTTCCCTCAGCCTCTTCTCTACACTGTTATCCAATATTGGGTATGGACCTATTTGACAGATGTTTGAAATGCTTTCTCAATGTGAAGGGGTTTTTTTAGTGATTTTTTAATATACAGACAGGGTCTCACTATATTGCCCAGGCTGGCCATTAACTCCTGGGCTCAAGCTGTCCTCCTGCCTCAGTCTCCTAAGTACCTAGGTCTTTAGGAATTCACCACTGCACTCAGCTTCAATGTGGTTTGAATTTTTATTACTCTTTTTTTTATGAATGAGGTAGTGAATCTTTTCTTATGGTTAATAGTCATTTGTATTTTTTTCTTTGTAAATTAATACTTTAAGCTCTTTCCCATATACGTAAATTTTTAAAACATGCATACTTATTGTTTATAGCCATGAACGTGCATGATGAAGGGAGGGAGGAAAACTCTAACCTCAGCTGAGAGGCTGCTGCTGGCAAGGATGGTTGGCAGGTGGGACAGGGCAGAGAGCAGAGACACAAAGGGATTATCTATGAGAGGGTAACATTTTATTTTTTTTAAAAAAAAAAAAGCACATGAAGCAAGAAAAAAATTGAAAAAAAAAAAGGAAGGGAAGGAGGGAGGAAAAGAGAAGACAGGCTTTAAAATCAGTAAATCTGGGCCTGAATCTCAGCCAAAACACATGCTCTGTGGCCTTTCAAAGCTCTCATAACCTCTCATTCTCAATTTCCACATCTCTGGGATGTAGAGAATATAACAATGACTAAAGATAATCCATGTAAAACCATGATTAGCACATCATTGTTGCTCAACAGTCATATTACATTGTTAATATTAATTTGATTATTATTCAAATATATATGATACCTCAAGCCAAGAGAATGGTCTGGTGGCTTTTCCTGGCTCAACCACCTGTTTCCTGTTAGGTTTTCCCAGAGGGTAGCCTCTTCTTGGTGAAAGCACGCCAGCGGTTTCATCCTTTCTTGACTATTTTCCAAATGTCCTCCCCAGAGCTGCCACTGTTGGTTTAACTGGCGTGACAGAGAGAAGCAAGGATGTGCTTGGGGTAGGGCTGGGATGAGGAGTTTCCTCTGTGTTGCAACCACTGTTTCCAAAAGCTGTGACCTCTGTTAGCTGTGAGATTTTGGCTTCCCGCTGTGGCTACATCTGGAGAACCACATCCATGTTTACCTGCAGCCTGAAACCCCCTGGCCTCAGAGGAAGCCAAAGCCTCTTTCCCCTAGTTTGCATTACCTTGACAGGCAGCAGGCTTCCCCACCACACCCCCCACCACCCTGCACCCTCCAGGCCTCTTGATGCCTTGTTTTTCCAAAGCCTCAGAGAAGCAGAAAAGTTATTTCTTTGCTGTAAACTCCTTTTATCAGAACAGAAATTATTAGAGCAGTGAACTTCGTACACATCTTCTTCCATCTTTGGATTATTTTCTCAGTTGAAACAGTTTCTATTCTTTTTCATTATTTTGATCCTAAAACATCAGAACACTAGAAAGGAGAGAAGAGAAAAATGAAGAAAAAGAAACAAAGAGAATAGCCTAGGCAGAAAGAAGGAAAAAGAAATGGGGTTGAAACAGATAGTGTCCTGGCAGGGTCACTTCTTAGGCCCTGGAGAGAAGCTCCAGAAGTGATCTAAAGGCTTACGTCGGACACCACCAGGTCCTTGCTCAGTTGGCTGAACCTTTGATCGCGGAGACCAAATAGCTCCTTTGCAGCTAATGCCCAGCTATAAGTGAGAGAATGCTGGCTGAGCTTAAAGGAACACCCCCTCTGACAACAACTGGAAGCTTCACCAAACCAGCCAAGACCATGTCCTTCAATTATAATTGCAGCGATGAACCAATAACCCATCAACCAAATCTTGAAAATTATGGAGAAAGGAAGTACTGTTATTCACGACAGGTGAAGATCACTTTATCCTTGGCAGAACTGATCTGAAGGGAAATTGTAAAACACATGAAATTTAACTTTCCTGGCATTTGTATTTCTTCTTTCAATAACCTGGATTACATGAAACCAGGAACCTCTTTCTGTAGCATCCCTCGCAGGCCTGCCAGCATTTACTGCCGGTGCCTCACCTCTTTCCTTCTTCCGATCCCTTTCATTGGCCTAGTTTTCTGGAGCTCTTTGCTCGGAGACAGATAACTGCCTGTTCTGAGAAACCATTCCATTCTAAAACGAAAACGGATGCTGCAGTACGTAGAATAATAACCCCTCAAGATATATGCATGACCTAATCCCCAGTATCTTTGAATAGGTTACAACATAGCAAAGGGGACTGTGTAAATAAGATTAAGGTTAAGTACCTTGAGATTATCCCGGAGGACCCAGGACAGCCTAATCCAATTACAGGAGTGCTTAAAAATGGGGACACTTTCCTTAAAAATGAGTCAGAGGTGAGAGGAAAGAAGAGTTTCTGACTTTGAAGATGGAAGAATTGGCCATGAGTCAAGGAATTTGGGTGGCCTGGAGAAGCTGGGAATGGCCTTCAGTGATAGCCAGCAAGGAAACAACATCTCAGTCCTACAACCAGAGAAAATGAATTTTGCCAACAACCTGAACGCGCAAGGAAAGAGATCCTCCCCTAAGCCTCAGTAAGGCACACCCCTG